CAGTGCGTACAGAGAGTGCAGAGAGAGAGGCACTGCCTGTGAGTGTAGTGTAGAAGTGAAGCACAGCTGAGATAGTCGTCAACACAACACAACTCGCATACAATGCTATGCTATGTGTCTCGCAAACTGTTAAAGCGCTCAATGCCTACACCAATAGTACGTCGCCTTTTAAATTGCCCCCAATCTGTGAACTACGCATTCAATACCTTTCCCCTCGCATACACCACACGTATTCATACAGTCACTAAACCTATGCTGTATCAAATGGCACACAAACTATTACACAGATACAGACCACCGGAGCTATTAGTTTAACAATTCTTGTCAACTCTTTGCCACCACTGATGGCTCACTGATCACTATAACTGTGATATTGAGATGACATGCGATTCACTAATATTTGTCAAACTATTTCATAGTTTACGCACTTTTATACAACTCTTGGATTTTGTGAAACTAAGTGACAGTAATAGTCATAAGAGATAAAAAAGACAATTACCACCATATGATTAGGTCCTTAAGACTGACTATAGATATAAGTTGATAGCGAATGGCAGATGCAATGGTTGTGTTGGGTGTGATGGTTGTGGACCTCTATTATGCAGACAATTAGTATTTCATTGCAATAGACGTCATATCATATGATACGAGGATTTCCAATGTTTTCCAATGTTTGCAATCATTTCAATGCATTCATTGCCTGTCTTTACGTAGAATTGCGTTCAAAGTTGTATTTAATGCTAAACTAAACACTTATTTTAGCGTTAATTTGAAACTCATTGCCAAACATTTTTAGCTCATTTTTTGCTACAAAAAATCTTATAATTTATAGAAAGTGGTTAACAATTGATTGATACAACATATCGAGAATTTGATTATAATTTCATAAAATCATAGGAAATTAAGGTTAGTTTTGAAACAAATAATTTATTATAACTTTTCATGTGATATACGAGTGATTAGAAGTTGAATCAAATACACAATTCTGGTCGACACGAGTCGTAACTGGTATTCATATTCATTACATTTAATACTTATATCTATTGTCTATTACCAGCAAAACACAGAATTCATGTGTTTGTCATTCATTAGAGAATATCAATTGAATATACAATTTGTGAAAAGTTTTTCAACTAATCTAACAGCGATTGTATGACAAACACATTGAATGGTGAGATGATTGTCAGGCTATAGATGTGCGCTTTTATTGTATTTTAATATGGATTACATTATTAGGTATTGAATTCATTTAAATCACTAATTGATGACTCATTTGGAAAGTAAATATATATTTTGATAAAAGCATTACAAATATGAAGACATGAGTTATACAAGCAGTGAAGTGTTGCTGAGGAAATCCAGTCGTGAACTACACCTCAATTAATGTCTCGTGAATTTCATTTCACATTTTGTGTCCCAATTCTCAACTCATGTCTGTCTTGGGGATCCAGTTATGAAAATCTTAATACTTATCACAAAATCACTAACTTTTTACATTTTTTCATACAATTTCATTAAGTATTAGATGTTTGTTAAGCCAAAGAGTATTGAATAATAATTAATTAGATTTAGTTTGGATTTAAAGTAAATTGTTTGCATAGATAACAAAAATACTACATTGATGAATGTGATGTTCAAAGTTCATAATAATGTCAATTCATGGCATTATATGAGTTCCCAAACTCGTGATTCAAGCCAATGAAGTCACCCTTTAATTTATGACAATTTTAAGTCAATATCAATGACTTTTACATTCATTTGATTTAATCATTTCATTTCATTTCATTTCATGATGCTATGCATTTTTAGTGAAAATATTTACTCATTTTATCTGAAGTTTGTTTTTTTAAAGTAATTATTTTGGTTCGCAAATGATTTAATGAACAAAACTTTTTATAGTGTATATAACTGTTGCAAACGATATGATTCTGGAAGTCATAAACTGCTCTCAAATCTCATGACTTATTGAATGAAAAAAAGAAAACAAAGCGAAGAAAGAGGTGATGTAATGCTAAGGGAAAGAGGGAAAGGGATGCTAACAAGTGTTGGCTAATAATAAACTGTTGGCACTGGCGGTGATGCCATTGATACCAGTAATCTTACACTTACTGTTTCGTCAACTTAGACAAGGGTATGGATGTATGGGCTTTGGGGTGAACGCATTGACGGCAACCATAGCTGCCGTTCACTGTACGAGATGTGAGTTCATGAATACTTCAACACCAGTCAGTCATCATTTGCTTCGACTTTCACTACATCACAGACACACTTCAATTTATATCCCATTCAAAGTTATGTCATATAATTTCATAATTATTATTATCTTCTTTTGACATTTAAATTTCTTTTAAACTCGAGTCAATACAATAAGTTTATCTATTGAGTGACGTTCACAAGTAGTTGTCATAGCATTGTATAAAAAGTGTCTCATTTGTGCTTTAATTGAATCTCAATATTGGATAATCAAACAATTGTCAGAATATTCTTTAACTTAAATATCAATTAATCACTTTAGTGAACAACACTACAATGAGTGTTTTTATTTTAAATGGTTATGATAAGGTATATCATACAGGATATGAATAATATTATGTGATTCTTACTTGTTAGTGCTAAAGAATATTCTTGAGCAGTACAATACCTGTACACAACTTTGTATTGAAATACAGTAGTTGTTTAGTTTATGAGACATTGGGTTTAGACTCTAAACTTTAGAGACTCCATAACATACTGTAAAATAGATTTACATGTGAAGTGAATAAACTGTTTTATGAGATGAGAATTTGTAAAATAAATGCATTATTTGTTTGGCAAAAACTTATTGCAAATATTTATTGTAATTCTAAGATATTTTATAAGAGTTTAACGAATTGTAATTATAAATAAAACACGAATTTTATGATTTATTATATGATTAAAAACAAAAAAATTTCATAATTATTATTATCTTCTTTTGACATTTAAATTTCTTTTAAACTCGAGTCAATACAATAAGTTTATCTATTGAGTGACGTTCACAAGTAGTTGTCATAGCATTGTATAAAAAGTGTCTCATTTGTGCTTTAATTGATTCTCAATATTGGATAATCAAACAAATTGTCAGAATATTCTTTAACTTAAATATCAATTAATCACTTTAGTGAATAACACTACAATGAGTGTTTTTATTTTAAATGGTTATGATAAGGTATATCATACAGGATATGAATAATATTATGTGATTCTTACTTGTTAGTACTAAAGAATATTCTTGAGCAGTACAATACCTGTACACAACTTTGTATTGAAATACAGTAGTTGTTTAGTTTATGAGACATTGGGTTTAGAGTCTAAACTTTAGAGACTCCTTTATACTGTAAAATAGATTTACATGTGAAGTGAATAAACTGTTTTATGAGATGAGAATTTGTAAAATAAATGCGTTATTTGTTTGGCAAAAACTTATTGCAAATATTTATTGTAATTCTAAGATATTTTATAAGAGTTTAACGAATTGTAATTATAAATAAAACACGAATTTTATGATTTATTATATGATTAAAAACAAAATTAAATATAATTACAATGTGATTGATAATTTGAATATTATCATTTCATTTAAATTCTATACATTTTCAAAATTTGTTAAATAAGTTAAATCTATTAAAAATTAATATATAATAGTATTTACACCTAAATTATTACAGTATTTATTAATTAGAATTAATTTATTATTATTATTATTATTATTGAGATAAAGAGCTATCATTGAATGGATAGTTCTAACGAGTCGTTTGATTTGATTATTGGTTTCGAGTCATAAATATTGTAAATATAGACGAGTGACAAGAGTTTAAAGTTTAAACAGATAATTGACAAAAACAGACATTCAATTAACAACAATATTATTAACAAATATATATATACTTTAACTCAGAGATTGAATATTCTTAATATATTTGGTAGAGTTTTAAGACTTGTTGATGTGTTTATTCATGTCATGGATTGATGAGAGTCTTTCAAATTGGTGTCCATTCTATTGGCATTAGTAGTGCTTAAGTCGAAAGGAAGACACAGTTTTCACTCTCAGAACTGAAGATCACTTGTTTTGGTCTATCGATGAGATGCTCTGATCAGAGGTGTGTCTGTTTTCAAGTGCGAATAAAAGTGCAAAAATAATTATGTATTATTCATTTTAGACATTTCTTTGTAAAAATACTGTTTAAACATATTTATTGATTGCTTTTATACTATCGTATAATAAACTAAACGTCAAATGACTTAAGTTTAACTGAATTATAGATTTAAAATACAACTCTTTTGATATATAGTTTAGCTGTCCTTAAGAAATGCATTTCCTTCAATACATATCACAAGTTATGAACATTAAGAATATTTTTAAAATTAAGTAAAAACTATAATAAACATAATAATGATATCATTTAAATAAATAAATAGGTAAAATGCAAAAAATTAAGAAAAATAAGTGCTTTTTGATGGCATTGTATCGACGATTGGATGCTTTAATAATAAAATAATTAATGAATGTTTTGATTCCATGAGATTTAATTTGATTGTCTTTAACCCATAATTTTGTTTCTACGAAGTCTATCATAAGAACTGACGAGTCGCTCGAGTTCTCAGTTGTCTTCAGCGATTGGACTCAGAGATGTGTTGGTTGTGGAAGTGGTAGTGATAACTGCAGTGTTGGGGGCTTTGGAGGCTTTGGACTGTTTTATATACGGATGGGATGAGAAAGAAATAAAACAAACAGTCATGTGTTATGTCTAATGCTCTCACAGACAGTATTCATTCATGAGATGCAATACAATTAAAGCGTCGATTTAACCGAATATTAGACAATCAATACTCAGTTAAAGCAAAATAAGCAAAACTTCCAGTTCTTGTCACTTATAGTGTACTCGAATTGAGAGTATATTCAAAGCGCTCATATAAGACAAATCACATGATATTAAATAGTGTAACATTTAATCTGAAAGTTTGTGTCGAGAACAAAACACGGGAACAACAGTTTTATAGATACCCAAAGCCCCCAAAGCAGTGATACTTTAGGCCACACAGCAGACAAGCAATTGAAGCACTAATCTATTGGTTAGTCTATTATTCTTACCACTTCTCCATCGTTTGCAATGTCGGCCGCGGTATCCGAACAGTCACTCGAACGCGAATAACGCGTTGAACTTCTGCTCCTAATTGGTGTCGTCGGACAGGCTATCAAATCATGACAATCAATGTAATACCGCGTAAACCGTAAACCACAACAAGTCTAACACTTACCGATATCTCCGCTTTCACTGGACTCTGTAATAGAAGGCGTTCCCTCCGTATGCGTGGGAGTGGATGTACCGATACTATGAGGTGGTGTCCACGTGACTGTTCGAAGTGTTGAACCGAGTCCTGATGAGGTGGCACTGGAACAGCTACTGGTGACACTACTCTCCGACTCAGTCAATCCGATTTGTGATACACTACAACAGTTTGCAAATGTTTAATATCACTTCAATTAACATATTATTTGAATATGAATCGTGTGTTATATTCAAGTCAAGTGCTATACAAATACAGTACTATTTGTCACATTGATCACAAAACTGTATTTCGATTAAATCCCATATTTCGTAAGTCATTGTCGTATGTATTGATCTGTCATTTATTATAACATATTTCTGTCGTTAACTCATCAAATACAATAAAACAGAATGCATTCATTGGATAAAGTTTTTGATTAATCATTATAATGAATAGAATATTCCCATTTTGTAGATCTCAGTGCAATTCATTTAATTTGAGTCCACAAGACATCATTCCTGTGTCTACTCCTATCAGACATGATTCGTAAGTATTGAAGAATAAATTGTGAATATAATGCAAACAAAGACATAAAGACATGCGAATAGATAACAAAACCAGATTAAGACATTCAGGGGTTGGGATATAAGGGCATAAAAATTAGTAAAAATATATAGTTTTGGGGAAAACATTCTTTTAATCATTCCATTAATAAAACATTCAAATAAAAAATTTAAACAATAAAAATAAAATATTTCTCAAAAATAGTGAGATTTCAAAATCTTATGTACAGATAAATGCCAATAAGGACTAAAAGGAATACATTTAAAACCAATGATTATAATCTAAATAATACTAATTAAGTGTAAAGCTAATAATGTTAAAACATTGTTATAACACAATATATCAAATGTACAATATAAGGCAAATCCAAACAAACGGTTCTAAGGTTTAAGGCTACTGTTTGTATTTAATTTAAGTCTAAATTTATAATCACTAGTTTCAAAATGACTACTAAACTTGTCTAGGCTATCGTCTGACCTGTGACTATGACCATCGAATATATCCAAACAATTATATTAATGAATGCCACCAAATGTGATTTATAGCTCATTATAATGTATGAATTAAACTGAACTTTCAAACATCATGTAATCGTTTGTTAAGACTGGCCTTATTATATATAAAATCACTATAAATTGTCAATACTATTGTGATATTTGGTATAATACCTCACAATTTCGCCCCTCTCTGGCAGAGCCACTGACTGTTTACTCGCCGCTTGTTTTATGACAACCGTCCGCAGACTGGGAGCAGCTTCTGATGAGTAGCGAAACTTGTGTACCGGTCCTCCCGTTGGCAATGGGTTGTTGACTATACGACTAGTATTGGCATCTAATGCGAGACAATATGAATTAACAGACAATTAGAGCTAAATGTGAACATCATTTACGATGATATTCTTTGAGAGCGTCGGCATCGGAGTCGCCAATAGACGGCGGTCTCTGACGGACAGGCGCTTGCATTTTACGTTTGGATGGCGAGTGCTTTAGCGCTATTAAGTTAAGAGCAAAACGAATGTCAATGAAAAGGCCCACAAATATAGGGACATTTGAAATGACAGGACCGGCGCAACAGACAATCATTTGGGTTAATAATGAATTGAAAATTAAGAGTTAATTTAGCGCTCATTAGTTAGTAAGGGATGGGAGGGGGGAGGGAGTGATCGTAAGAAGTGAAGAGCTCATACCCATACCAATGTAAGTGGAGACCAGGGTTCGGAACTTACGATGAGGGCCTTTGATTTCAGGCAAATCAACTGCATTTGGGTTACAGTAGAAGACAACGAGAGACAGACGACAGAAAAGATCACAACAGAACAGAAATTAACTTTTTTGGCATTACTTAACGCATTAAAGCATTTTGTGTTAGTTTTTGCCACATCTCGTAATTAGACATTAGTTAAGGATAAGAATAAATGATTAGTGTTTGGATTCAATCAAAGACAGTACAGATACAAGAGTTCATTGTTTGACATCCGATTGCATTTGTTTCAGGAATTAATGAATAAATTTTAATACAATAAGTTAGACACAAATCATGGGTACTGTCGGTTAATATTGTTAAAAAACTAGCATTGATTCGGGGGGTAATAGCTTTCAAAACATTCATTTATAACAATTATAAAACCAAACTTTTGTCAAGGAATGGAAATATTTAAAACTAAAGGAAATTAAATGACAAGATTTATCCAGACATTCCTGATGTCAAACAAGTGCTTTAATGCTGACATATATAAGTTGTAATAAAAGGATTCAAATCAAACAATTAAATACTGTTTTACTCTTACGTGAAGGAATTTTTCTGAAGACATTTTTGGACATAAAATCTAAAAATCTTTGGGCATAAAATCCGGGATTATGTACTGATATCGAGTCCTGTGTAAGAGGTAATGCGAAACAAGCATTAATATTGCATAGTATTGGTGTAAATGGTGTGGTTGTACCCCATCGTGAAGGAATGACTTCCACGTGTGCTCCACCTTCTTCATCAACCGATAGCTCTGCAGAATATCAATGATTCCGATGTATAGTAGCAGACGCTCTCCCTTTGAATTGCGGGCTGGGATGCCACCGGCACTGCACTCGTAGACAATATGTCAATGCCATTGGTTCGCCACAACACACAATCAATGCATCAAAAATACAATTCTCTATTAGTTTATGTCATCAAATATCTTAATAGTGTATTAGTCTAATGCATGCGATATAAAAACATAACCCAATTAACCAAATAAACTTCCTAATGTGCAACTAAATGTCAGGGACATAATCAATAGTGACCTTTGACCTTAACCCAAGTCTAGTAAACTTTTAAAAGTTGATGTCATATATTTTTGAGAGCAAATATCAAAGTAATTTGAAAAATGCATCCAGATTCTATAGACCCCTCGCATACACGGTATTTACAAATTCTGTTCTGATATGCATTCATCATATAGCAGCTATCATTGATAAATCAATTTAACAATAATGTGTAATGTTGCCGCAGTATAACCATATTGAATAATTCAATAAATGCAATAAAATTAATGATTTAAATAAATTGTTTAATAAAAGTATGAAACATATGAGAAAGTCTAAGAATAAGGAAACTCCAATTCTCATCAAATATTCAAATACTATTGATTACGAGTTCATTAGATCGTTGTTATCTATTTATGATGTTTTCATACAACAGTATCCAACATTTAATCAATAAATATTGTATTAATAGAGGGTATTATTGTTTGCGTGTACTGTACAGTGTATATTGTCTGAAGTGTTGCTATTTTAAGCGTTTTGCTCATCAGATTTTCCCACATATTCAGTGGGCGTAAGCAATGCCTGACAATCGTGAAGGTCAGGGGTGGGCGCCTCTCGCAAACAAAAACAAAACCATACAATGGATATCATCTGAATCTAATTTCTAATATTATGCAAAATAGTACTATACTGTAGTTATAAATATACTTTTCATTATTCCTGACATTTGCAATCAATTAGAAAACTAATGTAAAAGTTTGTAATAATAAGACTAATTTAGTAAATCTCTCATAATTACCATTACAGTCATACAATGGATACAGAATTGCACAAAACATTACAAAAAGCAAATGAAATAACTCACGGAATATCTTCCTCTGGATCTATCGGTTCGATGTCTGCTTGAATCGACTCGAGTGCAGTGGAATAGGCGGCTATCCTTTGCTTATTAATGGATTTACTTCGGCTTAAATTAACGGCATTCCCTTTATTTACATCATTAGCTCTATTAATATCACTAAAGTCTCTGTGGTCTCGATAGTCGTCGAGATCTGTTTGGTCACCGCCTTCTCGTGCGCTCCTGATTCTGGCCTCATATGCGGCCGCCTCTGCCAAAGTGGACGACTGAGCCTTCAGTTTCTCCAACTTCTGCATCGCCGCCACATCCAGATTATGAACGCCCACCAAAAGACTGTAATCCATTATCTTGAAGCTCTCCAACACTCGACAGTCTCTTTGCATTGTCTTAATGAGAGCGTTATAAGTGTCGGCCTCGAGGAACAGGCCCTCCGAGTGGTGTTCCATGAAATCCAAGTCCTTATAAGTGGGCGACCCTTTCTTGCGCTCGTATTTATTGGCTTTCCGTTTATACGTCGATCCCTTCAAGTCGTACTTCTGATGCATTGTCACATAACTCGGTAACAGATTATTCATGACAATAATCCGCACATTCTTTCCGCCGCAGATATAACAGTACTGTCCGAAGAATTTGGGTAAAAGTGTCCGCGGATTCTGGTTTAGGTTCTGTAAGACAAAAACACACATTCATTAGTTTGGAGTCATCGGTGGTATGAGTGGCAGTGAGGGTTGACATACCATATAATATCCGGGCAATAGTTTGAGCAGAAACTCGGCCTCTTTGTGCTGAACAGTCTTTATGATGAAATTGTCGTCATCTGTGAGATAGAAGACAGAGCCGGAAGCGCCCGGATTGGAGAGCTCGCGGAGGGGCTCGTTGCAGACGGACAGCAGGAAGTCGTCGGGCTGTATGCCGAAGAGGTCGCGAAAGTATCTGAAAGCGATGGGAGCGTACACTTTGAACTTGAAGTCCGAGTAGTGGTGGGCGGGAGTGGTGTTGGAGCCGTCTTTGGTGAACGACACGGTCTCCAACTCCATGAAGTCCTTCATCAGCAGATCCCTCTCGGGCTTGGATGCGAGCGATCCGACCGCGTGTCCGATACCCAACTGAATGGAGCCCATGATCTGCGTGGTCTGGATCTTCTTGTAGGTCACCTGTCCCTCCTCATCGACCCTCCGGTGCCCAATCTTCCTCTCTTTGTCCACTTTCTTGCGGTCGGCCGAAGACGGGCCCGGCGTTTGTGGCGTCTTCGGGCCCGACGTCTGACTGCCGTCCGAGACATCGATGGGCACCAGTATTGGCGGCGGTCTTCGCTTCTCATTCAACTCAATCTCATTTGGCGTTTGGTTTGTTTGGTTGCGAAGAGTCGTGTCTTCAGACATCATATCATCACTCATTCACTCCGATCAACACTATTGTCATTACAGGCATTCACTCAGTGATAGTGTGATAGATGTGTCGAAATACGAGTAAATCATATGAAAAATGAGTTAATTATTGACTAAACAGTGAGATGTCATACAAATAGGTGTCAAATGAATGCCCGATTCACTCATATTTAACCCAATCATCAGTCGATTGTGTTTTGGGTGAAAGTCTCGCATTCAATGCATTGTTTTTGAGTACAGTTTCACCAAACAGTCAAACACTCACTCAATGAACACTCAAACCATACATTCAGCCATCTTTACAGTCACTCGCACTGAGCCCTCACTAACCGGACACACATTCACTGCATTCAACAATTCAACACCACTTTCATTGCACCACTTTATTACATACAGGTATTCATATTCATTAATTATTTCCAATTTTAATACTCTACCACATTTTTTATTTTAAATCTATTTTTCAAATTAGTTTATATCAATATCGATTGTTAATCATGTTAATGCTCTGGTAAATTAGAGAAATAGGCATTTTTAAATAACTAACTATTAATAGTACAGTGATATTAAATATTTATTCATGATCAAATTATTTCCGTGTTGTGCTTGACAAGTTTAGCAAGTTCTAAAAGTGACTAATTGTCTGTTATGGAAATTTTTAATTTTAAATTCAAAATTTTGTTAATTAAATTGAATACAGTATTAAACTATAGCGAAATATTTTCTATAATGGATTAATTTGAAATATTTAATTAAAAAGTAATAAACGTGAATATAAAAAACAAATATTTGTTAAATAAATGATTTATTTGTTAAATAAGTCACTTATATCAATTTTAATATTAATTATCCTTCATTTGAAGTTCAAACTATTTGTAAAGTGTATTAATCTTTACATATGATATAAATCCGCAAAATGTGGTCTCTAATGGCTAGTATTATTTAAGCCATTACTCCTACAATAGAGCAAATAATTATACTCTACTGTACTCTGCATTCATTCACTCTCTCTATTTGTATGGATTGTCTCATACAGTATAACATATTATGTAATGCAATGCATGCAATACTTGTGGCAAATCACTGCACACTCTGTGACTGGCCATCAATTGCCTCTCTCTTTAGAAAAACCTATCAATTATTGCCATTAATTGAAGAAAAGAGTAAAAGATTGAATCAATTATTTGATAATTATTTTCAAGTTTCAATGACAACTCAATAACGCAATCATTTGCGTACAATCGGTGTACTGAACAGTACGGTAATCAAACTTTAAGCCACTTAAACGTTCATTTTCTACAAACTTAGTCTAACATCACGTAATTGTTTTAATTAATCTTATCCTCATTTACGGTATAACTCATTATAATTTTTCCGCAAATTTAGAAACATATAAATCAATTAAGAAAAATGTTCAATAATTGTTCGTAAATGTTAGAACTTATTAACAAGTACTGTAAGTTACAAGAAAGTAAAGTATCCTAGCTACAGTCTAATGTTAGTTCTAGATTCTAGACAATGAAACTTGTAATGACATTCAATGCAAACCAGTTGAAACACTATTTAATTATTTTAATTACCGGTAATAGCAAAATATACGTCAAATAGTACGAAAAGCACTGAAAACAATGAATCACACGAATATGGGGGCAATGTTGAAGTGATTTGACTAAAAACCAAAATAAACCACAATTTAATGCAAAAACCAATACTTTTATTATTAATCGATTGATGTCTTTAGGAGTTATCATAACATTAGTCGAGGAATTCGAGTCAAGAATAACTGAATGAATGAGTGGTCCGTCGTTTAAAATTAATTAATTTTCATAAAATTTTTATTATAACTCTGATTTGGTTTATAGTTAAAAATGTCGAGAAAATTAACTTAATCTTCACTTTTGGCTGAATTGACGCCATTGTTGACAACTTTATCTCCGGTGGTGTCAGTCGTGGTCTTTGGAGTGGACTTCTTCTTCTTCTTCCCGCCCTTATGTCCGACACCTCTATTGAGGAGCGCTTTGATTGAATCGTCTTCGATGTTGAACTCACTCTTCAGGAAAGACGTATCGATGGGGAGACCCGTTATTTTGTGGGAACCGGAGGGCATCAGAAGTACTGTGAACTTGAACTGAGCCACGAATTCGGTGTCCTTTTCGTAGAGAACGGTAAAGGGCTCTAAAAGCTTGTGATTCACACACTCTAAGACTCCCATCCGGGCCTTCTTCTCCTCCTCGAACGCTCTCAGAGTGAATGGCATCGAACCGAACCTCTTGTCCACATCACTATAGAAAGCTCGCGAGGCCTTCATCTTCAGCTGATACACTTCGTCCGTCTTCTTATACACCGTTGTCTTCGAGTCTAATTCGCGACCCTTTCGTTCAAAACATCAAACAATTAGTCTAATCCTTACGAAACATCAATATTCCTGTTTGTCTTACTTTTCCCTCTCCAGTGCTGATGAGCACATCGATGGCATAGACTTCGTTGACTTCAAACTCACACTTTTCGTGGTCTTTCTTCTGGGCTTCGGTTGGGTTTTGGATAATAGACTTCTCGCCATCGATTCGGAACTGCTTTAACTGATGGGAAAGCATTCCGGAGATGGGCTTACATTTGAACGATTCGGACACCTTCTGGATGGCATCGGTCACCGCATTGTTCTCAGAGCCGGGTCTCACGAGTCTGAGGGCCGCCTCAGCGGCTAAATGTGCCGCAAGAATGACATCGGCTTTACGTCCGTCCACTTTGGCCTCATTGGAGGCGCCGACGACCAGAGTGTGCGCCACCACTGCTATGAAGCCATCGATATGTGCGCCCAAATCACTGCCAATCACACAAACATTACTTCATTTGCCACTCAATGAGCGCAATGTCTTACAGTTTGACGACATCGCCGTCTTTGAGCACATAATCCACTTCACTCTTGAGGGGAGAGAAGTGACAGATAGTGTTGTTCACCGAAACACAAGTGGGAAACGCTATGCCTTTCTTCAGGTCCTTCTCCTTCTTAAACACTTTGGACGTCTCGTCGTTAATACCATTGTCTCCCAATTCGCACAGATTTCGCACACTTTCCTCGGCTTTGCATTTCTCTATCAATTGCTTCAAAACGCCTGCAAATCAAAGACAACACAAAACTCTTATTAAGAAACGCATCCCAAGAGTGAACACGTGTTGACTCTTGTGGTCAACCATTGCGAGTGACATACGGTTCACCATCTCTCCGGCCATCTTATATTTGGTGACCACTAAGTCCTGAGCGATTGTCTTCTCCTCCGATGACTCTTTGTCCGCCATTTCCACCGATTTATCGCGATTTGCGTGAAGACAACAGTGAAAGACAAGCAATTGATCAGTGATTTTGTGGACAATTATGAACACAAAACCAAACACTTCTTTATTCACTATATATTCACAATCAATTACGGCTTAATGTGAACATATTTTTGCGGTAATTGTTTGCAAAGTTAGCTTAAACTCAAATAATGGCCTTATTTTGCGTACAAATGGCCTTAAACTGTAACTAAACACTAATTGCACTCAAATTGATTGTACTTTGAATGAGTGAATTAGAAATAATGACAAATGAGAGCGAAATGAATGCGTGAATCGTGTGGTCGTAATTGTTGCTCAGGCGGCAACAGTACTGACGGAACCGGCAATTTGTGTTCAAGCATTGACTCGTTGGCAGTGAACCCATGCGCACAGCACTAGTCTGTGGCACACATTCCGCACGTTTGACGACATATTTCTTTCTCTTTCGATACAACCACTGAATACGCGACTAAAATGCCTGTAAGTGTCCTCAAATTATCTCATTCCTCGCTTACCATTCACTGTATTTCATGTGATTTACTAACCATTTTGTCCGTAAACATGGGGTGCATGTGGTGTGCGGCCAATGGGTTCACTTGAATGTCATTTAATAGCGATTTGTATGCATTAACTAATTGTTGTGAAACATGTGCTCAACACTAGGCATACGTTTCAATACGTTTTGCATTGATTTGAATGCATTGTATATAAGAGTGAATGACATTGAAGTGATGACTGAATCTCATGTTATGATCACTTGTTGATCACTGAATCATGTTTGGATGACTTGTCTAATTGTATGTCTGTTTGTGTGGACAGTTGGCTAGAGATCTATTACACCCATTGGCGGTGGACGAGCGACGCAAATGTAAACTCAAACGTCTGGTACAACACCCCAACAGCTTCTTCATGGACGTCAAGTGTCCGGGTATGCCATCACTCACTCATTACCATTGATTATCTCATACACTAACGCATCTGTGGTGCCAATGATAGGTTGTCTGAAGATCACAACCGTCTTCAGTCACGCGCAGACTGTCGTCCAATGCAAGGGCTGTTCGACTATATTGTGTACACCGACGGGAGGGAAGGCGCGGCTCCGGGATGGCTGCAGTTTCCGTAAAAAACAGCATTAATTATAATATTGAAATCAATTTTTAATTTACTGTCATTTGTGTTGATTATTAAACTAAAATCTTTGAATAAATTAAAATCAATTTTTGAACAATTATTTTATACCTCTTTTGTACGGCTTTACCATCAGTTGTATTGTATTTGATGTCCTTTTAAGACGATATCTCTCTTCATATCCCTCGAGTGTCTTAAGTGTCTATTCAAGTCATCCGATGTCGGAACTGATCACTAATTTTGTTGTTTACTCGCAATTGATTAGTCTTTAGGGACTTTACGTATGTAATGCGATATACAGTAACTAATGAGTTGACTGTGATAAGTATAATACACTACAGAATATTATTAATTACGATTGTTAACTATGGTTTCAAAGTTTTGTGTTTATCAGATATTTATCTCTGTATTTAACTTTCTAATCAAGTAAGTCCTTTAGATCTCAAATGGTTAATTCACGGATATTTGCTGTATATTTGTTAAGATTGAATATTACCGGTGTTTGACTATTTCTATTTGATTAGTGTTTAGTTGGAGGCAATGGATTGGAAAGAGTTTCGATCGAGTGGTAAGTTCTTGACATGAAGTTGTAATTCAATGGGTGGTGTGGAAGAGCTACCCTTCCTATTAAAAAAGTCTGCAAAATCAATCGATTCTTTTAGTGAATTATTATAGCGTTTACATAATATTTGTGTGTTTTGTCTAAGTTATATGAAGTTTATTGAAAACTTCTTAATTAAAATCTAACCAAAACAGTATTCTTAAGATTTGAGGTCTCTTATAAGTTACTTTATTTTATAATTATAATTCTTAACTATTAATTATACTAATCTTTGTGTACAATATACCGTAATATAGTGTATATTATCATGATATTATTCTATACTGAAAGTGATATTTTTGTTGTAACGACAGGAAAAGAAATGGTAGACTTTATCACAGATTATTTGGAAACTATTAGAAAGCGTCGAGTGTTTCCTGATGTGAAACCTGGATATATGAGACATTTANCTATACTGAAAGTGATATTTTTGTTGTAACGACAGGAAAAGAAATGGTAGACTTTATCACAGATTATTTGGAAACTATTAGAAAGCGTCGAGTGTTTCCTGATGTGAAACCTGGATATATGAGACATTTATTGCCAGAATCTGCACCCATTAATGGCGAGGACTGGAACACCATTTTTGCAGACATCGAGAGAGTTATAATGCCCGGTATGTTATCATTGCTTAAAGGTCACATTTAAAGTATAAGTCTAACAGGTATATCAGGTTTATTATATTTTTTAAATTTAATAATCAACCATTTTAATGCTAAATCAATTAATGGTGCGGTGCAGGAGTGACCCATTGGCAGTCCCCTTATATGCACGCATACTTCCCAGCCCTCAACTCCCCCGCATCAATATTAGGGGATATGTTGTCCGATGCTATTGGCTCTCTTGGATTCACCTGGGTATGAGTTCCTAACATTTTTCATTTACATACAGAATATTCTGTTTAAATCCTAAATATTTTATATTACAGTTATGAAAAGTTTGTGTTGTTTTAAAAATTATTTTTATGATTTAATCTGACTTTTATTCAATAAATGTTTTATTTTATATTACTATTTATTATAAATTATGTTTTATTGATTAAAATCTGATAAAGATATGTACATTTATTTGTTATTATATTGATAATTCTTATATTGAAAATTTACTTTCGAAACTTTTTCATAACATAAAAGCTTTTGAATCATTTTGTTTATAAAACTATACAAAAATATGAATTTGAAGGCATCGAGTCCTGCGTGCACTGAACTGGAGATAATAGTAATGGATTGGTTGGCAAAAATGATAGGACTTCCCGATGACTTCTTGCACAGTAAATCTCCGACAAATGGCGGGGGAGTCATACAGACGACTGCATCGGAGTCGACATTCGTGGCTCTATTAGCGGCCAGAACTGAGGCCATACTTCGGATCAAAGCTGAGAACTGTATGGAAGAGTTGGACGACGCGGAGATCAATAGCCGACTCGTGGCCTACTGTTCAGATCAGGCGCACTCATCCGTCGAGAAGGCGGGTCTCATAGGTTTAGTTAAGATGCGATACATTGAAAGCGACGATAAGTTGTCCCTCCGGGGAGACAAACTCATAGAAGCCATCAAACATGATAGGGATCGGGGACTCATCCCGTTCTACATATGCGTAACTCTGGGCACAACCGGCGCCTGTGCTTTCGACAACCTCTTGGAAATCGGACCAATCGCTAAGAACGAGGAGATTTGGATTCATGTGGACGCGGCCTATGCCGGCACTGCCTTCATATGTCCGGAGTTTAGGAAATGGATGGATGGCATTGAATACGTGCAAAGTCTGGCATTTAATCCGTCGAAATGGATGTTAACTCACTTCGACTGCACGGCAATGTGGGTCCGCAACAGTTCCGCACTTCACCGCACTTTTAATGTCGAACCACTTTATCTCAAACATGAAAACAGTGGCCAAAGGTTGGCTTATTTGCGTTCACGAACTAAATATTTTGTATTTTATTATACAGATTTAAACTGATACTGAATTATAAATACTGCAACCTTTTACTAAATTTAAGTACCGTTCAAACTCAAAGTTATGTCCTATATATACAATAATTACAGTAATGTTTGCGATTATCAAAAGAATTTTTCTTAATTTGAATAATAAATTTAATATTATATTATGAATAATTATGAAAATATAGTCAGATATTATAAATTCAATTAACTATTAAAGTGATGCTATATTTTTAAATTTACAGATTAGCAATGGACTTTATGCACTGGCAGATCTCATTGAGTAAAAAGTTTCGCAGTTTAAAGTTATGGTTCGTTATTAGAAATTATGGCATAAAGGTATTGATCATTTACATATTTCTATATACCGTATTTATAGAATTTATATTATACAGTATTAATTGTAAAGCATTACAGAGTTTATATTGCAATATACATACAATAGTAAATTAACGTTTATTTGACATTATCATATCAAACCTAATAAACGTAACAATAAAGTTAGTTTCATAAAGTTATGACATAGTGTTGCATAACTTCACTAAACCGATGCCTATATTCTTGATTCTCGTATAGGGATTACAACTCCATGTGCGGAAAGGCGTCAAACTTGCCTCAGCTTTCGAGGAACTTATCAGAAATGACTCGAGATTTGAATTACCGGTTGAGAGACACTTAGGACTCGTTGTGTTTCGCCTGAAGGGTAACAACGAACTCACCGAATGTCTGCTCAAGAAGTTGAACTCAAGCGGACGTCTTCACTGCGTTCCCGCGTCACTGAAGGGCACGTATGTCATCAGATTCACTGTCACCTCACTCCAGACCACCATCGCACTATATTTTTAAATTTACAGATTAGCAATGGACTTTATGCACTGGCAGATCTCATTGAGTAAAAAGTTTCGCAGTTTAAAGTTATGGTTCGTTATTAGAAATTATGGCATAAAGGTATTGATCATTTTTATATTTCTATATACAGTACCGTATTTATAGAATTTATATTATACAGTATTACCGGTAATTGTAAAGCATTATAGAGTTTATATTGCAATATACAATACAATAGTAAATTAACGTTTATTTGAGTTATCATATCAAACCTAATAAACGTAACAATAAAGTTAGTTTCATAAAGTTATGACATAGTGTTGCATAACTTCACTAAACCGATGCCTATATTCTTGATTCTGGTATAGGGATTACAACTCCATGTGCGGAAAGGCGTCAAACTTGCCTCAGCTTTCGAGGAACTTATCAGAAGTGACTCGAGATTTGAATTACCGGTTGAGAGACACTTAGGACTTGTTGTGTTTCGCCTGAAGGGTCACAACGAACTCACCGAATGTCTGCTCAAGAAGTTGAACTCAAGCGGACGTCTTCACTGCGTTCCCGCGTCACTGAAGGGCACGTATGTCATCAGATTCACTGTCACCTCACTCCAGACCACCATCGCTGACATCCAACGAGATTTCGCTATCATTAAGGAGACGGCCACTACTGTCCTCAAGACCTACGGAATCCCAGAGAACCGGATCAGTCGAGCCATACCTTTGGCTGAGATCAAGAAGAGAACGCCCGGATTCGGCACAAGTCTATTGCTCTCCAATAGCCCAATGACTCCGAAGATAATAAACGCTAGTTTTGTAGCCATTTTCGATCAGCAAGACTTAGCCCAAGAATTTGTGCGACACTTCGGCAAACACATGGATCTGACAGGAAATAGCAACCCTTCTCTCAGACGACGAATTAAAGGCTTAATGCTTACAGACAAACAGCACAGGTATGTCTGATCCTTACGGGTGATCATTGAAACACTCAGAGTTATTGCTTAGTTTGGACTCTCGAATGGATTTAATGAACACAATTATGGCAACCGTAAGCATTACAGACAAAACAAACCAACAAAGGACTGGGACCTCGAGTGCGAGAAGTACTCGCTTCTCAAGCTCTTCGAGTGGTATACTTTGACATGAAATTGATTTCAAATTAAATAAATTATTTATTAAATATTTATGAAAATATACAAATGGTTTCAATAAAACAGTAGAATCACTGCCGGGGAAAGCAATTGAAGAAATGGATGAAAATGGAGAGACAGTCGTCGGCACTGGGAGTCAAGTAAAGGACGAAAGGGACAAGAGTTGGCCTGAAAAGCACGGCAACCGTCTGTGCAGTTCAAACAGCCAGTGATCAAAGCGGACAGTTGTAGATAATGATGGAGTGGTCGTCCGACACCGACACTAATCGGCTGCCGTTGCTGTTGTATTTGACTCCCCAGACCTGATCCGTGTGCTGTTCAAACGTCTCAATACAATCCCTGGTCTCCACGTCCCATACCTTCACAGTCTTATCAGAAGATCTGTTAATTGAATAATTGATTTAAGTGTCAAACAATAAATGTGTTTTTGATTGAATGTAAACATGAGAGCAAAGCTTACGCGGACGCGAAGTGTCTGTTGTCGGCCGAGAAGTCCACGTTTAGAACCCAAGAGCCGTGTCCTGAGAGGGTTGATATGAGCTCTCCGGTGGGCACGTCATAGATCTTAATGTGACAGTCGTCTGAAGCAGTGATCAAATGTCTGCAATCGGGTGAGAATGTGAGGGAACGGATAGGCATAGCGTGTCCTTCCAGCGTTGACACCATTTTGCCCGTTTCGATATCGAATAGTTTAATCATACCATCGATGGCTCCACTGGCTATCTGTTGACCATCTGGTCTCTGAATGGTATGATCACAAAATCAATGCAAACCACTGACAAGCAAATGAGTAATACTAACGAAAGCTATGCTAAGCGTGTATTTTCCGGTCGAGTCTAAGCTCTGTTCAGACTTCTCGCCACTTCCCACAGAATATAAGACAATTTTCCCGGAATGACTTCCAGTGGCTATCAGTTTGGAGTCGGGAGAGAAGGTCACTGTCCAGGCATTCACTGGTCCCGCGTCTATGCTCTGCACCTGAGCGCCAGACACCAGATCCCACACTCGGATGTGACTGTCCAATGAGTTAGACGCGGCTATACTGCCACTGCTGTCCACATCCACTGACACCACTCCCAGAGCGTGTCCTTCGAAGATATACCGGAGATCCAGACTTTCGTCATCCCTTCGGAGGTAAGCAAATGAGTGTCAGTGATAGTTGTGTGCGCAGAGTGGACACAACAAACCATTTCCAGGCCTTAACCGTGTCGTCCAGACTGCCGGTCACGATGTGTTCAATGCCGTCGGACACCCCTCGAGCCCACCCCACACTCCATATGCCGTCGTCGTGGGCGCCCTCCTGTCGGTGCAGTACTTCATACTAAACCACAACAAGACATCATTGCCATCAGACACACACTCACTGCCATCACGTCCATCACAGCTTACCATCTCTTATGAAGAGGTCTTGTAAATGAATATTATATTAAAAACGAGCGATAAATGGGTTTTAAATGTCAATCAATTTAAACACAATTAATGCGAAAACATGTGAAAAGTTGCGATCATTTGAAAAGTGTTTGCATTTAAGGACTGATAGGACTGATAGCGACATCTCTTTCACTTTCATATGAATTAATTTTGGAAACGATTTTCAAAACAATAATTAGTAAACAAACTGTGGTTTGGGTTCACATGAAGTGATTGCCTCGTGGATCAGATGAACAAATGGGCAAAACTCGCAGAAAGAGTGTTAAGAGTGAAGACGAACAGGAGGTGAGCACTGATGAAGACATTAGCCATTGAATAATAAGATAATGTGGTTGTGGTGAGGAGGGCACGAGTGGTCAGTATTGGGCGACCGGAGTGTTGGACTGGCGGGTCGATGAGTCCGGAGTCATGTTATATCTGCTGCGATGGTATGGCTATACGGATGACCAGAACACATGGGAAGTGCAGGAACACCTGTCAGGATGCGATCAACTCCTCGTCGACTTCCACTTGAATCAAGTCAATGGAAGACACCCTCCGAAGGGCTCGTTCGAGGAATTCAAGAAACTTCTCAAATATTTGTCACAACTCTTCGACGACAACGATTTGGCGGTTCTTAAGAGGTTCGCGAAGAAGCCAATCGATTGCTTCAAAATCAGAGACAATGTTGTGTTGAAAGAGATCTGGAAAGCGATGAGAACTCAAATCGATATCCTCTATGAACGCGAGAAATGTCTTAAGAATAGATCAAAGACAGAGCTACGGAAGTGTCAGAACGCTGTGGCCATTGTGGCCACGAATCTGAATATAAACGCCAATTTTGAATCCGTTCCGCACTTCTTTGACTTTGTGGACAAACGAAGAGTTTTCACTAAAGAACTCGAGAATTGGGAAAACACTCAAAACCAAGTGATTGTGAGTGAGAGTGACGGTCGACCCATTCGAGTGGTCAATGATGTAGACCTCGAGATGCCGGGTCTGAAGGGATACATCACTGAATATATTCTTGACGTCCAGTTCGGGCAAAACATACGGTTTGAAAAGGAGGAGCCATTAGTGGGCTGTGAGTGCACCGACTGTTACGACTCGCGAGATGAGTGCTGTACTGCAGTGGTTGGCTATCCTATGGTTTACACAAATAAAGGAGTTCTCAACAAAGCCTATAATACTCTTATATATGAATGCAATGACAAATGCAAGTGCAGTGACAGCTGTCCCAACCGACAGGTCCAAAGGGGCCGACAGTTTGATTTGGAGATATTCC